TTGGTGAAGACTCCTGAGATTCCCTTGGACAGCAAGGAGATCAAACCAGTCCATCCTATAGGAAATCAGCTCTGAATATTCATTTGAAGGGCTGATGCTGAAGCTGAAGCTCCAATACTTTGGCCACCTGATGGGAAGAACTGACTCATTTGAAAAGACCCTGATGCTGGGAAAGACTGAAGGCAGGAGGAGAAGGGGACAACAGAGGACGAGATGGTTGGGTGGCATCACTGACTCAATGGACTTGAGTTTGCGCAAGCTCTGGGAAATGGTGATGGACCGGGAAGCCTGGGTGGGGTCCACGTGGTCACAAAGAGTCAACTGAGCAACTGAACAACAACATTGTTTAAAAAACACTTCTCCAATCGAGCTGCTCAGCCAGAATCCCATCCCTGACATGAGTTCTATACTTACACCCCTGGGAAGGGAAGTGGCCACCTGAAGTTGAGGCTTCATTGCTGAACAGTATTATTGTTAGAAAGTCCTTCTTTTTCTCAAATGAAACAAGCCCCAATCACTTCCTCTTTGGTTCCCTTCCGCTTGCTGGTATCAAGCAGTCACCTCACATCACTGGGTTTCACTGTCTTCCCCTGCTCCCACACATGTGCCCTACCTAAGTGCATGGAGTCTAAAAGTCTACCATCAAAGCCACTTTTGGAAGTTAAGGCCTTGGTCTTCACCCATCATCTCCCATTATTGTGTTTGTTTGCTTTCATAGGGCTGGGGGTCACTAGAGTCAATCCATCTGTAGTGGCTGAATTCTTCAGTTTCCTGACGCTCCCAGAACAGAGAAGTTGTTGGGATTTGTGGGATGTCAATGAACCTGGAGAGGTGGTGCTAGTGATGTCAGGGACTGGATGATACAGAGGGGTCCAGGGAGGGCCCTCAGTTGGTCCTGATACATAGTAACTTGAGGCGCCTGCTACCCCTTGCATCATGCCTGGAACCTCTGGGATGTTTGCCTCCCCTCACCCCAGGAGGCCAAGGGCATGTGGCTGCACAGGCCACGTAATCAGCAGGGCCCTGTGCAAACTGAGAATACAGGGCCCCATGTCCCAAAAGAATTAAGTGTTTCAAGACGGCAACAGCAGAGCAGTAAATCAAGTATGAGCCCTGTGAGCACAGGCCCCGGGCAATTGCAGGGTTTGGACACCCACCATTACCAGCCCTGGCACTTTGCCTAGGAGGCAGGCTCAGCAGACACGGTGTGAACGAGCTGGGCCTGGGCTGGGACTCCAGAGTGCAGGAATTGAAACCAGGCCCGTGAATATTCCAGGAACAAGGTCCTTAGAGATCACTTGGCCCAAACCCATCTGTGCCCAGCTATAGAACCTGAGAGCGCAGAGAACTGGCCCAAGGTCACCCTGGGGATTGGTGGCAGAGCCAGATCACAACCTCAGGCCTGCGACCCTCCCCCACTTTCCTCTCAGTCCTTTCTGAAGCTGCTCTCAGCCTATGCAGTGTCGGTGGTTATTTATTTACAATTTGCCAGTTTCTATCCCCCGACCCCACCATCCCTCCTTCTCCCCCAGGTTCCAGACTCCTGTGTCTGACTGTCCCCAACTGCAGTGGCCTCTTGCTTCCCGTCCTCCCCTTGCCTCCTCCCTGACGCTCTCCTCTCCATCCTCACCATGGCCACCAGAGTGTGCTCTTAATTTACAAATTGGACCCCCCCACACCTCTGCTCTCAGCCCACCAGTGTGTTGCACACAGATTGCAATCCCACCTCTTTACCATGACCTATGGGGTCAGGCCCTGTGGTTTCTCTCATGATTGCCTGCCCCTCCCTCTGCCAGTGACCTTATTGTTGATCAGAAGCCCCACTCACGCCTGCCATGCAGGGAGCATCCTTCTATTCCCCCAGGTCCCTCAAGGCCTCTCCTCCCTACGACCAGGTCTCAGCTTACATGCCCCTTCCCCCCGGGGCTCTGGTCTTCCTCTGCACTGTCCCAAACACACACCCTCACTCTCTCTCCCCACCACCTTCTTTACTTTCCTTCACACTGCTAAGGGCTCCCCTGATGCCTGAGTTTATAAAGAATCTGTCTGCAATGCAGGAGACCTGGGTTCAATCCCTGGGTTGGGAAGATCCCCTGGAGGAGGAAAGGGCTACGCAGTCCAGTATTCTGGCCTGGAGAATTCCAGGGACTGCATAGTCTATGGGGTCGCCAAGAGTCGGACATGCCTGAGCGGCTTTCACTTCACATAGTGCTAACTTTCCTGACCTCGCACTGCACACTGGCTCCTTTGTTTTCAGCCTTCCTTCTAGAATGTGGCTTCCTTGAAGGTGGAGACCTGTCCTGTTCAGTTGCTTGGTGCCTGGTAGGGCACTTGGCACAGATGGAACTCTACTGAGCTGTAGGAATGAACAAACTGCTAAGAGAATGAATTGATTCAGCAAACACGTATTTTCACAGGCCACTCTGTATCAGGCGCTGTGCTGGACACTGAACACTCAGACAGGGCGTCAGTGGACAAGAAATTGTCCCTGCTCTCAAGGAGTCAGGTGACTGTCTTCAGGAGAGACGGAGCCGTGTCTGGAGGGGTGGCAGTGTGACATGAGTGGCTGTTTACACTAGTCTGAGCCCCTCCAACCTAGGTCAAGAGCGAAAGATTGTGGGTCCTTGAAGCAAGAGTTTGGATTTTAGGGACCACGCATTCCCCTTTCGGAGGAGCTAGGGCGTCTCTGTCTGTCTCTGGTCCCCCAGCCCATTAGGCCAGGACTGGGGCCCACATGCACAACGAGACCCCTAGGAGGACACCCTAGGTGGTGGAGCTTGCAGCTTGGGGAACAGCTGTGTCCTGGGCGCTGGAATCAGGAAGAAGACTGACTTGGCTCCACTCAGAGGAAACTGAGCTTCCCTCAGTGGGCATGTGGTCCAGTCTGGGTTAGCCCTGTGGGTACCTTGGCACAGACCATCTCCCAGAGGACTCCGATCTGCCCACTTCTCTTTAAGCCCCACAAAGCAGGAGGCCCATGGCTACCCAGATCCTGCAGCCCAGCCCTGGCGTCCCCAGTCTCCTCCTGCCATGCACATGGCGTGACTAAAGCTGAAGGGCAGATGCAGGGCCCCTTGAAGGCAAAGTCACTTCCTCCACAAAGCCATCTCTGCTTTCTCTGTGGTAGTGCTTCCTCTTTTTCCTTATCCCTAAGGTTCACATCCCCTTTTCGTTTATTTATTCAAACATCCACCCATCCCTCCATCCATTCTTTTATGCAACCAACATTCATTGAGCACCTCCTATGCTCTTGTCACTTAACAGTAGTGAACAAGAACAAGGACCCTGCCCTTGCAGAGCTTACTGTCTAAAGGGGAAATTATGCAACTGGCTGCCAATTAAAAATTAAATCAGAGCTGTGATAAATGCTATGCCAGAGAAGTACCTCAGCTTCAGGGTAGGAGGGCTTTCCAGAGGAAAGAACATTTCACCCAAGACTATGCTGTCCATTGTGGCAACTGAACCCAGCCAGTGCCAGGAGAAACTGACATTTTCATTGTATTTACTGTTAATTATTTTAAGTTTAAAAACAGAAACAGTATAATACACCTGGCTTTTTTTAATCACAACTTTATTGTTTAGGAAGGACTTGGGGTGTGTGTGTGTGTGTGTGTGTGTGTGTGTTAGCTGCTCAGAGGTGTTTGACTCTGCAATCCTATGGACTGTAGACTGCCACTCTTTTATCCATGGAATTCTCCAGGCAAGAATACTGGAGTGGGTTGTCATTCCCTTTTCCAGGGAATCCTCCCAACCCAGGAATTGAATCCGGGTCTCCTGCATTGCAGGCAGATTCTTTACTGTCTCAGCCACTAGGGAAGCTTGGACTACTGTAACTAACAAAAATTTCAAAGACTAAAGGAAAAAACAAGGTAATAATATCACAGTATTTTTATATTATTACATGTTGAAATGGCACAATTATAGACGTTGAGTTAAATAAAATATATTTGTTAAAAATTAATTTCACCTGCTTCTTTTTACTTTTTGAATGTGAAGACTAGAAAGTCTAAAGCTCCCTAACCTGGCTCACACAATGTTTCTGGGGATAGAACTGAGCTGAGAGCAGAAAGGCGTGTGGAGGTGTAAAGAGCAGAACAAGGTGAAGAGTGTGGAGATGAGGGGATCACATTTCTGAGGTGGAAATTCACATTTAGCTCCTATTACATGTCTAGCATTTTAGACCTTACATGCGTTAGACTCAGTGCCAGGGAGAGTCGGTGCCTCCTGCTATAGATGAGGAAACAGAGGCCCAGGTTTGACTGAGGTCCAGGGGCTGGTGTGACCGTTTCACTGAACTGTCTGAACTACACATGAGTGTCACCCTGAACTGGTTTTATTTATGTCTGAATGCTGCTCTCGCATCGGCTCGGCCACATTTCTTCTGCCTGTCTCCCTCTGTCTCTTTGGCAGAGCCCGCTGTTTTTGGACACTTGCTCTGTAATTGTTGGATGAATGGGTGATGAGGGGTGAATAACTTCATGACACTTTTAGGAAAAAGTTATTGTGTCAGACCCTGTAGAAAGCCCAGTTCAAACTAGGGTGCTTCCAAATGCCAGCCCTCCAACCAGTGTACTATCAACACCACACTCACCATGGATGGTGTTGCCCCCTAGTCCCTGCCGAGCCTTCTGGAAAGGGCGCAGTGAAGAGTTGTTTTCTTCCTCCTACTAGCTCTGAATGGGGTCCCAGGTGTGGCTCCTTTGGTGGATCCTGCGTGCGTGCGTGACACAGTCAGCGCCCAGGCCAGAGATAGCACACGCCTCCCACTGGAGACCTCAGGCTTCCCGGAGGGTTTGGGGCTTGGAAGGGGATGTGGGCCACTGTGACCACTTCTCACACTGTGGCTTAAACCACTGCTCCAGGCCTGGGGGTGGGCGGGTGGTCAGGAACTGCGAGGCCCACCCCAGGCTGTCGGAGACAGGCAGTGGCTCATCCAGGGCTCGGAGCCACATCCAGCACTTGAAGTCAGCACGTTCTAGGGACGCTGGGCACCTCCTGCCATGACTGCTAACCCTGGGCAGGCGCTGAGTGCCCTCCTGCTCACCCTCCTGCTGGGACTCACAGGTGAGCCTGAGCACTGCCCATGGAGACCCTCAGAATGGGCGGGGATTACCCAACTTAGCCACTCTGCTGGAGGCGAGGCTTAGCTGAGCCATTTGCCTGCCTGCCAGGGTACTCTTTCCTGTCTTTTCCTTAGTGTGGACCTTGTGGGTAATGGGGGTGAGGGGAGCTTTGGGGGTCAGGAGGAGAAAGATGTGAAGGGAGGGGAGGGGCCCGGGGGAAGGTCAGGGGATGAAAGAGAAGCCCCAGACTACCCAGTATCCCTGATGTCAACTCTGGTCTGAGCGGCTATTGGATCTAGCTCAGAGAGGGGGTGGGGGTGCAAAGACGGAGGGACAGAGAGCCCCCGAATGATGGAGCCTCTGGCATCATGAAGAGAGTGCTGGACCCGGAGTCAGATGGTCCCTCCTTAGTCATTCACAGGCAGTCATTCACAGACTTAGTCATTCACAGTGAGTTTCTTCTTCTGGAAAGTGGGGGTAATAATACCAGCCTCCCACAGCTGGGATGCAGTTGAAAATGAGCGCACGGCCCTGGAAATGTTTTACAATCCACAGGGTGCAGTGTGCAGGAGGGACGATGACGATCAGTAGGATCTACTCAGAGGAAAGCACGATGCGCTGAGTGCTGAGGGGACAGGCTCCCACAGCCTCCTGAGTTGCCCTCCATCCCCTGTCACCCTGTGCTATCACTGCTGGTTTATTTGCCCTTTACCCCATCACAGACCTGCCCAGATGCTCCTCCAGGGCAGGAGTCCTGTCTGACACATCTCTGTATCCCCTCAGTATCCAACTCACACCTCACTCAAAGCAGAGGCTCAGGGAATGTAGTGAAGACTCCAAGAGGTCCCTGAGCTCAGATCTCTGTAGGCTGCCCGATGGGGAGGGAAGAGTCTAGTCCTGCAGTTGTCAGGATGACTCCAGGAGATAGATCCTGGGTGAGGAGCAGGAGTACTCTGATCCTCCTAACTTGTGAGGATGGATGAAGCTGCCTCCAGAGGAGAGAGACCCCCTGTCCTTGGAGGTGAACAAGCAGAGGATGGAGGCTTAGGGGGTGTTAATGGGAAGGATCAGAGGAAGAGAGCCAGCCATGACTGCTTGCAGTGATTCTTGGCTTCTCGGTTATATCCAAAGTGGAAATCTTGATTCTTCACCAAACCTCTTCCATCCCAACTTGGTCTTTTTAGTCCCATCTCAAAACCTAGAACCACCATCCACCCAGAGATGCTTAAAAGAAAAACCTGGGTATCATTTATCCAAAGTTCATTCTGTCCCTCATCTCCCCTCCAGTCCATCATGAGTCTTGTTGGCTGTATCTTCCCTCCCTTTCTTGCCACCCTGGTCTAAGCACCATCACCTCACACCTGAAACTCTGTGCCAGCCTCCTCCCTGGCCTCCCTTCCCAGGATGCCACCCTCCTTTCCATTGTCCACACAGCAGCCCCAATTATCTTCTAAAATATGCCAATGAAACCACTTGTCCCTCTATTTAGAATCTCTGATGGCTTCCCATCACACTCAGAATGGAATCAAGAGCATCCCCACTTCCCATAAGGCTCTTCTCAATCTGGACCTCTCTGCACACGATGTTCAAGTTCTACGTATGTCTCAGTTTCTCAAGCCCACCAAGCTCTGCCTGCCTGGGATGCTTCTCATCTGCTGTTCCCACTTTCTAGAATATTCTTCCCCTGCCCCTTCCCATGGCTGGTTCCTATCTATTCCTCAGTTTCGACTTAAGATGTCACCTCCTCCAGGAATCCTTTTCTGACCACCTTTCCAGAAGAATTCCTCCAGGCATTTTTCTATGTCAACACTCTTTGGGTTTCCCTGAAATCGCTGAGACCCAGTTCTAATTCTATATTTGCTTGTTTACTTTTTAGCATCTGTTTGTACATTCCCTGAGGCTGGAACCAGACACAGCCACACACACCACGGCGGCAGTGGGATGCACTGGCTCTCAGCATGCAGTCACAGCCATCTCTTTCCTAGGTGGGCAGCCCTCCATCTCTCTGGTGGGCCCGACTCGCAGGACAACCCCTGAGAATCCAGTGCCTTTCAATTGTACCGCCGGTCCCTTCAGCTCCTCAGACTTCAATGTCACCTGGATGAAGGACAGAGATGAGCATCCCGCCTCGGCTCAGCGCCTAGTGACTGACAACAAAGGCAATTACTCCGTCACCAGTAAGGTGTGGGTGACCCTGTCCCGCCAAGATATCTTGTCGAAGATGACCTGCGAAGTCAAGCACCGGGCCCTGGCCGAGCCCCTGCGGAGGAGCATGAACCTCTCCCGGGTTCTCCAAGGTGCGAGGGCGGGAGGCTGGGTGGGAGCATGGCTTTCCTGGCAGCACTGGTTTTCTGAGTGTTTTGCACAAAGCCCCATTTCACAATTGGGAAATTGGAATTCTGCCTCACAATGTCTGATCCCAAGGCAGCATTATTAAAGACACAGATTCCAGGGGCCAGCTATCCGGGTTTAGTCCTGACTGTACCACTTCATGATCTGTCTGCTCCTCTGGAAGTTACTGAGCCTCCTTGTGCCTCAGTTTCCCCTTAGAATGAGAATAAATTATCACCTACCTTGTAGGTTTCATGTGAGGATTAAATGAGCTATTTCTTGTGAAGCACCTAGAACACTGCTTGTCACAAGGAAAATTGTTTATATATATTTGATTTTATTATTATTGTCTGGACTGAGCGTCCATCCCAAACATCTTTCTTCTATTAATACCATTACTATTTTTTCATTTTAAATATGTATTATTTATTCACCACAAATGAATCAATTCATCCATGAGTATCTACTGTGTGACAGGCACTGTTCTAGGTGGTAGGGATATAGAAATGAATAAAATTAAGTCCTGGTTCTCATGAAAATCATAGTTTATAATTCTTAAAATATTTCATGATAAGAAATATTTCAAATGCACAAGGCGTAACATAGCAAACACTGACGTACTATTACCCACATTTGGTGAATATTAACACTTAGTTCTATTTGCCTTACATTGAGCATACAAGAAAAATTTATTTATTTTTTTAAAAAAAGGTAACTGATTTAAGAATGAGAGTTCTAGGGTTGGTTCCTGGGAGAGGAAGACATAGAGGGCAGGGGGGCAGGGATAATTTCAGAAGACAATCCTTTCTGTTTCTCTGTTTAGTTGTCCCCACCCTGAAGATCACCACCAAGCCCTTTGTGATGCAAATCCGTGTGCATCAGAGAGTGAATCTCACATGTCATGTGAGCCACTTCTATCCCTCCCGCCTGGACCTCATCTGGATGGAGAACAGGCATAAGGTACAGACCGTGGAGTTCCCCCAGGTCGCCAGAAACCCAAATGGGACTTACTCTCTGGAGCACAGCTGGCAGGTGGAGGCTACGCTGGATGGGAGAGAGTTTGCCTGCTGGGTGGTCCAGGATGAGCAGCCCCCAGTCCAGGCCAACATCACCTTGCGGGCTCAGGCATCCAGACTGCGGAACGGTAGGTGCAGTCTCTTGCCAGCCCCTCTGGGCAGCCTGGCTGGGAAAGCCAGGTGCAAAACACTTGCCATCTGCCTGGAGTGCAGACAGCAGTGGGTCAGGGACTCAAGGCAGCAAGGGATGAAGGTGAAAGAGGAGAAGATGCCCTGGGATTGTGATAAAACTCTCAAGAATTCATTCCCAAACTCCACTCCTCTTTCCCCTGTTAGTCTCTCAGTCGTGCCCGACTCTTTGTGACCCTATGGACTGTAGCCTGCCAGGCTCCTCTGTCCGTAGGATTTCCCAGGCAAGAAAACTGAAGTGGGTTGCCATTTCCTTCTCCAGGGGATCTTCCCAACCCAGGGAGTGAACCCTGGGTCTCCTGCATTTCAGGCAGATTCTTTACCATCTGAGCCATCAGGGAAGCCCTTCAACCCCTACATTCTTTTTAAGGAGGAGTGGGACTTCCTTCTTCAATTCCATGCACTGTTCAGGTTGAAAGTTCTCTGTTTTAACACTTCGGTACAGGAAACAGTAGATACTAAGGACAGCTAGAAATCAAAATCCCTTCCAGAAAGGTTATAATCAAGACTGGTTCATCTGACAGTTTCTAGGAGTCGATTTTAAAGGGCAGCCAGAATTCTTGACAGGATTACCTGGGAAACTGGAGGGTGCAGGGGTAGGATTCTCATTCTCTCTACTATTTTTTTGCTATCACTTTTGCTCATTTGTTTGCTCTCTATCACTTCTGTCTCAGGCTATTTTTTCTTTCTTCTCCCCTCCTCTGTCCCTCATTTTTCTTCTCCTTCCCTTTTCCCTCTGTCTGTCCCTTGTTGTTTTAGTTGCTAAGCCGTGTCTGACACTTTTTCGATTGCATGGACTGAAGCCCTCCAGGTTCCTCTGTCCATGGGATTTCCCAGGCATGAATACTGGAGTAGGTTGTCATCTCTTTCTCCAGGGAATCTTCCCCACCAGGGATTGAACCTGCGTCTCCTGCATTGACAAATGAATTCTTTATCACTGGGCCACAAGGGAAGCCTCTCTGTGTATGCTTGCTAAGTTGCTTCAGTTGTGTCTGACTCTTTGCGACCCTGTAGACTTTGCCCACCAAGCTCCTCTGTCCATGGGAATTCTCCAGGCAAGAATACTGGAGTGGGTTGCCAGGTCCTTCTCCAGGGGATCTTCCCAACCCAAGAACTGAACCCGTATCTCTAATGTCTACCTGCATTGGCAGGCACACTCTAACACCAACTCCACTTGTGACTCTTACCTTCTAAAACTCTATCTTCTCCTATGTACCTTTTGTATGCTTGATGACATTCTCCACTAGAGGGAGCTGCCCACCAGCCCTTCAAACCCTGGGGCCGGATCTGCTTTCCTTGGTCCTGGCTTGAATCAGCTTGGGAGAATGAGTAACTGGGCCAGAGGGGCTGTGTTGGGGAGGGAAGGAGAGACAGGAATATTGGAAATGGCCAGACCTGGACTGGCCAAGGGTGAACCAGAATCCACTGACAACTCTCCAGAACAACAGGAAGTGGGATAAGATAACTCCCTACGGGCAGTGTGAGCTACTTGGTCTGCAGCACCAGCAAAAGGGCAGACAGGTTGCTGGGCTGCAAAACCACACATCTTCACAATGGGAGCACTGACCCTGGATTCGATCTCTCCCTGAAAGAACTGGCCTTTTCTGCTAACTCCAAGAATTCTCAGGGGCAGTGAGCCAATATTACCTTTCGACTTCTCCATGGCCTTTTTTTCTTGTCCAGAGGAAATAAGAAAAATGTCCACCCAGTGGGATATACAGATCTATGTGAAAAACTCCAGACTGCTCCTTTCTGATCAGAAGCAAGTTACATTATTTCGTTTTTTACTCATGCTGAGGTTTTTCTCTCCGTCTTATTTTTCTCCTTCGCCTGCATACAGGTATCTGACCCACTACGACAAGGTGAGCCCCCTGAGAACATCACTTTGATTCTACTACCCCTCTGTGAAGCTGTTTGATGTGCCCTCTGGTCTGCAGTGGGAAAGGCAGCTTCCTTTTCTGGCTTCAGGCCCTCTTCTGTTTGGTGTTAAGGTGCTTTTGCTGCAACACCTTCTCAGCCTGACTCCTAAACCCCTTCTTCAGCTCCCACCCCTTACACAATCCCAGTCATGTTCACTGACCCCTGTAAGCACATACTGTGTGCCAGGCATCCTCACATATGTCGTCTGACATAATACAGTTGGGACAGGCAGGAGAGGAGCAGGTCTCAGGGGTCTCAAATAGTAGAACTTGGATTCAAAGGCAGGGCTGTCTGTTCACCAGTTCAGTGTGTTTTCAGTTTTTTTTTTCCCCTCCATCCTGCCTAGGTATACAAATATTAGTGTTATCTCAAGTCTTTTGCAAATTTCCCTCTTAAATACTCTGTATCCTATTTATTTCCTTCTGAACTGTCATATCTGCCCACATCATTCCATTCTCACAGTTGGCCCTGAAACTATGGGACCTCATCCAAGTCCTGACTGGTGTTCTGTTCATTTAAGCCTCTTCTCCATGTTGAGACCCTCTCGGCCCTGAAGCAGATACTGGCTCTTATTTTCGGAGTGGCCAGATTTTGGAGTCAAATGGATCAGTATCATCTGGCAGGGTTGCCACGGGCATTCTGCGACCTCGGGCAAAGAAGTGCCCTTCCTGAGCTCCATTTCCTCCTCTGAGCAAGAACAGTTGTGCCCTCCAGGTGGGAACCAGCTAGGGCTCCTTCCTTTGACCCATGCTTGGCATCTAGATATTGGGCTGCACAGAGGGTGCTCTATGATGATCGTGACGGCAGTCTCTCTGATGCCCAGACCATGCTGGGTTGAAAGCAGGAAAATGCTGAAGTTCACTAATTATTATGGGGAAGCTATGGAGAAACAGAGGCAGCTTCCATGTAACAGAAAGAGCACCTGACTTGGAGTCTGTGACCGGAATGTGAGTTCTCTTTGCTGTGAGGCCCTTGGGTGAGTTACTAACCTTCTCAGCCTTTTTCCCTTTAACATTAGGAATATGATTAAAAATAATTCTTTAGGTGGCTGACGTGAGTATTTGATGATAGTAATTATCATTTGGGGCTTCCCTGGTGTCTCAAATGGTAAAGAATCTGCCTGCAATGCGGGAGACCCAGATTCGATCCCTGGGTTGGGAAGATCCCCTGGAGAAGGAAATGGCAACTCACTCCAGCATTCTTGCCTGGAAAATTCCCTGGACAGAGGAGCCTAGCGAGCTCCACCTCTTTGCCTGGGGTTGCAAAGAGTCGGACATGACCGAGCAACTAACATTCACACTCACACAATTCTGTTTATAGAGTGATTATAAATGATAATTATTTATAATTATCTCACATACTTTACTAGTTATTGTACATGATTTTTAAACTAACACTCGGCATTAAGAATCATCCCCATGTCACAGATGAGGAAACTGAGTTAAGTTGTCATGCAGGGGAGGGACTGGGAATGCAGACTTGGGCTGAGAGTGACCCCAAAGCCTGTGCTCCTACCACTTCTCTGTGCTGTGGTTGTTCAGTTGCCAAGTTGTGTCCAACTCTTTGCAACCCCATGGACTGCAGCTCACCAGGCCTCCCTGTCCCTCACCATCCCCCCGAGTTTGCCCAAGTTCATGTCCATTAAATTCTCTGTGCTGCCTGCCTTCATAGGACCTGCGCTGAGAGCAGTGATACACCCTTCCCTGTCCAGGGACTGGGGGCAGAGCTGAGTCTGGTCACTGAGCACAGACCCTGAGTCCTTAGCTTCTGGCTAAGAACCCTGGCTCTACTGGCCAGTTTTGGAACTTAGACAAGGTACTTAGGCTCTGGACTTCGGTGTCTTCATCAGCAAAATGAGGATAGGAGCAGCTCTCTCCTCCTAGGTTTGCAATGAGGGCTAGGGTTAGGTCTCAAAGTCAGTAAGCAGAGTTGTGAAGTGTGGGCGGGAGTCAGGTCTCTTTGCAAACTGCTGTTGTCCCTGTAGCTTCATTTTGTCTGGCCTCTGATATCAGCTTCATAGTTGAACTCCTGTCAGAATGTAACCTACAAACACTGGAAGATGAGACGGTGAGGCTTGTCAGTGGAGATGCTGAGGTTTTGTTCGCACTGGGTTTGGGCGCCTCTGCATCTTCTTACAGGCTGGGTCTCCCCTACAGGCATGAGCAGCTACTCTTCTGCCCTGCAAGGCCCTCTTCAGCGCTCTGAGCCAGGCACAAACATCCCACTGACCTTCACGTCCTCTGGATTCTCCACAGGTCAGGTTACTGTGACCTGGCTTAAAAACTCCCACCAGCTGTTAAAGTCCCAGACCAGCGTCCACCCTTGTGGAGACACCTACAATGTGACCAGCAGTGTGCTCATCCTTCTGCAGGCTGACGACGTGCAGTCCCTTGTCCACTGCCAAGTCAAGCACATGTCCATACTGGTTTCCCAGAAAACCATCAGACTGGAGCAGTACCTCCGTTGTAAGGATGTTCTCTTTGTCCAGATGGCCTAGTGCAGAGTTGGGCTGGAAGTTTTCTGAGTCTGGGTTTCCTTGACTGATACATGGGACATCCCTCACTTCGTTGTGGCCAGAATTCAGCAAAATGAAACTGGTAATGTAATTAACACATCTCTTGCTCATATCAATCACAGAGAAGTGGCAATTGTTGTTATTTACATTTACTATTCATATCACCTCTCAGAACTCAGTTTCTTCAGCTGTAAAATGGAGATAAAATATCTTCTGGGAATTAAATTTTATTATATTCATTAATATATAATAATTTTATTTATATATATAAATTTATAATTTTTATATGAAGAGAATTTAAAGGCCTTTGTGGACTTACAAATTTTCGGTAGAATGATGACTATTTTTATCTTTACTTATATGTAGGGAAGGGCCTAATTTTCATCTGTATTTTTTATCGGAGGTTGATTTTTATCTTCTTGGCCTGGATCAGGCCTTGCTACTGCTGCTGCTCCTGCTAAGTCGCTTCAGTCGTGTCCGACTCTGTGCGACCCCATAGATGGCAGCCCACCAGGCTCCCCCATCCCTGGGATTCTGCAGGCAAAAACACTGGAGTGGGTTGCCATTTCCTTCTCCAATGCATGAAAGTGAAAAGTGAAAGTGAAGTCGCTCAGTCGTGTCGGACTTTTAGCGACCCCATGGACTGCAGCCTACCAGGCTCCTCCCTCCATGGGGTTTTCCAGGCAAGAGTACTGGAGTGGGGTGCCATTGCCTTCTCCGGGATCAGGCCTTGACTGGTCTGCAAATAACATGATTTGAAATTCTTTCATATCATGCCTAATAGGAGCTTAGTGATCATCTCATTATTTGTAACAGCTCTAAAGCCCAGAGAAGGTAAGTGAGTTGTCCAAGGTTGCATGCACAGCAGTAAAATTAATTTCTTAAATATTTGTAGGACTTTAAAGTTTACAAAATATTTTCCTCATTTTATGCTATTCTTGTGGAAGAAAATACATCATTTTACATGGATAAAATATTGATATTAATGACTTAAGCACAGCACATTGTCACTATACACACTTGTGTGGATTGGCTTATTTAATGTGTACAACCACCCTGTACTGCTTATCCCATTCATGGTTTTATGGAAGGAAACTGCATTTGTAAGAAGTGAAGGTTGCCTGAGGGTATGAAGCTGGTGAGTGAGAGAACTTGCATGTGAATTCAGGCTTTTGGGACTCCACTATTCACCAGCTGTTGGGACCTCCTGCTGCTTGTTTAAGTTCTCTGAGTGTTGGGCTCGCTGACTGTAAAATAGGAAAATGATACTGCAGGGACTCCTCCTTATCTGAAAATTTTTATATAATTCCCTGGAGTTAGAACAATTGTATAGAGAAGCAAATAGATAATAAGAATATTCACCATAAATTATTTATAAATTATATTAATCAAACTAACAAAAATTTAAACACAGAAAAAAATATTAAGAGCAGCAAGGAAAAAGCAACAGGAAGCATACAGGAGAATCTCCATAAAGTTAACAGCTGATCTTTCTGTAGAGACTCTGCAGGCCAGAAGGAAGTGGCAGGATCTATTTAAAGTAATGAGAGAAAAACCTACAACCAAGATTACTCTACACAGCAAGGGTCTCCTTCAGCTTCAGTGGAGAAATCAAAAGCTTTTCAGACAAGCAAAAGTTAAGAGAAAACAGCACTACCAAACCAGATTTACAACAAACGCTAAAGGAACTTCTCTAGCCAGGAAACACAAGAGAAGAAAAAGACCTATAAAAACAAACCTAAAACAATTAAGAAAATGCTAATAGGAACATATATATTAATAAGTACTTTAAATGTAAATGGATTAAATGCTCCAACTAAAAGACACAGACTGACTAAATGGATAAAAAGAAGACCCATATATATGCTGTATGCAAGAGACCACTTCAGACCTTGGGACACGTGCAGACTTGACAGTGAGGAGATGGAAAAATAGATTAACCTCCTCTTTCAATCCTCACTGCTCAACACTGCCTGCATCAGGTTGGGCTTGCCATTACAGAAATAATTATGTGCTGTTGTCTGGATTTCCTTGGAGGCAAAGCCTGAAATGAGGTGTTAGGTGCAGGTGGTTGGGAGATGATTCAGTGAGACTGGGATTAGAGATGGAGTGAGTGACACAAGGAAGAAGGGACACCCCGGAAAATGTGAGCTATTGACCTGGGGGCTCCCATGGGTGATTGAGGCTCACTGCCACTGGGGACTGAGAAACTCTATAGACTATTCCTCAGGAGTGTCCATAGAGGAGGGAGCCTGGAATGGGCCTTCATGCGCTGCTGGATGGCATTTCATGGTTGTGGAGAAATTCAGACGCAGAGCATTGAGGAAGAGCTTCAAGAATCTGAAATAGAATGTGGTACCACCCAGCACTACTGGGCTGAGGTCAGGTGGCTACAAGAGATGGTGTGGAGCCCAGAAACCCTCTGCTTTAGGAGGCAGGTCTTTCCTTGACTGAAGTATGGCAAACATCAGACCACACTGTGCAATTAGAACCCACATTTGTTGCTAAGTGAAATCAGAGATTTGGCAAAGTGTATTTCAAGTAATTGATGTAAATGATGTTTTAGAACTGCTGGGGTCTCAGGTGGATCTTCGGCCTTTAAAGATGAAAGAAGAAGGAAAAATTCTATGATCCTAATGATTCCATGGGCACGTTGAAAGATGACAGTTTGATTTTAAAATGCCCCTTAAAATTGACAGAATAGTCAAATGATTTCAAATAATTTAAAAAAATTAACTTTTAGGCTATGAGTGTGAAATTTGAAATGTAGGGTTTGATGGTATCGGCATACGTTTTTTAGGAAAATATTATGCCAACTTCCTTACACTCCCAACACTTGTTTCTTCTAAAAGTTGGTGCATAATTGTCATTATATGCCACTGTGCTCAGTCGCTTCAGTTGTGTCCAACTCTTTGTGACTCCATGGACTGTAGCCCGCCAGGCTCCTCTATCCGTGGGATCCTCCAGGCAAGAATACTGGAGGGGGTTGCCATGCCCTCCTCCAGGGGATCTTCCCAACCCAGGGACTGAACCTCTGTCTCCTGCATTGCAGGCAGATTCTTTATCACTGAACCACTGGGGAAGCCCAGTTGTCATTATATTCTATGTTTAATTAAAAACTAAATTAAATAAAATTATTTGTATAATTGAAATGTTTTTCAAGTTCAAATTTGAATCAATTCCTTTTCGACAGTTTCATTGAAATGGAGGCCTGAGTTGTGTAGTGTCCTTCTATTGGCTTTTTGTTGTCTTTTCTGATACCAAGTAGCACTTTGTGTTTATAGCATTTGGTTGTGAAGAATAAATAGCACGTGCACAGTGACTCAAGCTCCGTTCTCAGAACATGGGAGCCAATATCATCAGCTGGGTTTTGGTCTCTGTCCTCCTGACATTGTCCTGAATATCTTGCAGCCCAGAAAACTCACTGGTGACTAGAATGGTCTATCTGAGACCCTCCATGCTCTTATTGGTCCTTGTCAGCCCTATGGCACTTGCTTGGTGGTACCTTGTTCTGGCCTGTCCTCCATAGGCACTGCCTAGTTACCAGGCCATCGCAATCCCTTCTCTGGATTCTGCTCTTTGCTTGGTAGGAATCCCTGCCTGTGGGCTGAAAGGGAAAGATTGGCAAGAGATAGGGACATTCTAGGGGTGGTGACAGGGATGTTCTGGGGATGGTGTCTTGCTTGGCTGTCCCACCCATGAGTAGCATCATAGATGCAAGCATATAAGTTGAGGTGAATTGAGTATAAAAGAAATAATATTTGGGGAACAAACATACTCTTAGTTCTTTCAAATTGTACTACATATGGAGTTATTCTCTCTACCCTAGACCAAGGGCCAAAGTCTATATAACTAGACCCCTGAAAACTGATCAAGCTTAGATAATTTCAAATAAGAGTGTGGGAAGCAAAGAGATGGTGACGGGCACAAGGTCTTGGATTTGGCAATAGTGTCAGTGCAGAGACCAGAATCTGATGCTCACTTCCCTTACTTTAGTTTAGTTCTGTCTATTCCTATTAATTCTACTGAAGCCCTTAATGTTTTTTAGTATTTTTTAATTTCTCCAATTTTCTTTAGTATGCATACATTTTCTTCACAGCTGAAAAGTCTGGTTAAAAAAATTCTAGAAGTTGTTAGGTCATAATTTCCAGGAGCCTGCAGTCATAATAAATGCTTATAGCCTTATAGTTTGGGTGTCAGAATAGCAAATGGTAAAATATACTGTCTCTGGTGGAACCCCTGCTTTGCCACGTGTGACCTTGGGTAAATATTTAGCTTCTCCAAAAGTAAGTTCCTTTCTATGTCAAATATTAGTATTCTGCAGTCATGAAGGTTAGAGGCTTGGAATCTTCATCAAGTCGTAGAGTAAGTCAACTGATTCATAGGTTCTTAAATGAAATTCAGGTTCACCTTTTCCTATTGAGTGTCTACAGTGGAAAAGAAAGGAAAGATTAAGATGGCTTCATCATTCCATGCTTCCATCCAAGCATGCATTCACTCATGCACTTACTTATGCATGCATTTGTTAACCAATACCTAACTCCTCTGTGGTAGGCCCTGGGCAGAGGACCCCTATCTTTAGGGAGCTTGCCGGTTCCCATGGTGAACTTCTTATGGTAATTGTCTGCTTTCTTTGGCCTGTGACAGTCCCCCCTACAGTGACTGTGTCCAAGTCTTCACATTCTTTGGACGTGGTGGCAGTTACCTGCCACGTGCAGAGATTCTATCCACAGAATGTGCATCTCAGCTGGTTGGAGAACTGCCATATGTTCAAGGAAGCTGTGCAACCCTCGTCCAAGCAGAATAGTGATGGTACCTACACCTTGGAAAGCTTGCATTTGGTGAATGCCTCAGTGTGGGAGTCTGAACGTGTACTTACCTGTAAAGCGCAGCATGAGACCCAGCCTCCCATCCAGGCCAGCCTCATACTGTCCACAGCAGTGCAGGACACATACAAACTCATTGGGAGTACAGGTAAGCTTACCTCTACACCTGTGAGCAACTGTGACCTCTGTCTCCAAGTGGAATGAGGTATTAACTCACAGAGTCATGTTTGATATCTCCTCTGCCCCTTGTCACTTAGGTCCAGAGATGCCTGCCCTTATCTTGATGGCTTTCCTCCTGGGCTTCAAAGTGGTGCTGGTGATCAGTTTCATAGCCACCTATTTCCACAGGTGGTGGAACCTATAACAGGTGAGGTGGTGGCAGTCTTATTCTTTAGGGATGGAGATCAGAGCCACCTTCCTGGGGTGCCAGAGGAGTCAGGGCAAGTTCAAAAATCATATGGCAATCCAGCTTCAAGGGAGAAATGTAAACAGACTTATTTTCTCCAAATGTGTTTTGGAATTTCAGAGGCTTCCAACTCTCATTATTTTGTGCCCTGGAATTTGAAGTTTCTACCATTAAGTTAGTTGGGACCCTGCAGGTGAGGGTCCAAGGTATGCAGGACCCTGGAGGTGAGGGTCCGCAGTCAAAAAATTTTTGAAACCCAAACTCCAAAGAGCCCTTCCATGGACTGTTGTATATTCAGTTATCACATGGAATCAGTATCCTTGGAATGAATAAGGAAAGTAATACTAAAATCAACTTATGGAACCTTTCTTGGGGACTTGGGTGTGCTGTGTAATAATACAGTGGATGTGGGTATGGGAGAGAGTTCAGAACTCAGAAAGAGGTGTTTGGGGCTTCATTTCTGGTCAGCACCACGAGCCCAGGCCAAGCAAAGTGCCTCCCATACAGTATGTGCTCAAAAACACTTGTGGAATCAATGAATGAGTGTTTTTCCCTACAGGTCCTGCATACTCTGTGATACACTGCCTCCCTCCCTGTGCAAGGGGCTCAAGTGGAAAGAAGCTGTAAGGACTGGAGATGACTCAAGATTCTCCGCCCTTCACTCTGCTTTCCCCACCTCCGACATGAACACACTCCCTTCCATACATCCTCCTATGTTCCTTCTCTCTGACCTTTGGAATTGAGTCAAAGATGGACATTGGTCATGTTGATCCAGAATGTCTAGACCCTGATGCACTGAGCTTCAAATTGGCCCTGCCTCCACCCCAAAGAGAATCAAGTAGATCAAGAAAACAGGTTTCCATTGTGCCCCTGCTCAAGAACACTTAATTTTCAGAGCATTTTACTTTTATCCAGAGCTTTTGCAAATGTGATTTCATTTTAACACACATGTACTTTAAATCACTAAGTTGGATGAGATTTTTCTATTCTGAAATTTATAATATAAAAATATCTACATAAGTACCTACCATGCTATGTTTGCAGACTGTTAACATTTTGCTATTGTGAGCTGTTGTTCCTTTGAAAATTACTGTACTTGATTTGGTATTCATAATCTCAATCACGATTTTATACCTTTACAACATATGTATAAATCCTTAAGCAATATATAATATTGCTTGCATGTTTTAACTTTTATATAAATGTTATTATACTGTATACAACCTACTGGAACTTTTTTTATACTCAACACAGTTTTTTTTCTTTATTCATAAATTCATAAATGAATTTATACATTCATTTTTGTAGCTTCATTTTATTAATTTCCACTGCTGTATAATTTCTACTGTGAGAGTATGCCACAATGTATTGATTTTTCTTTTGATGGATATTAAATGTTTATGTAATGTCTTGCTAGTAGAATTTTGCACAAATATTTTTATCTTTGTCTCTTGGGCACATATGGGAGAGTTCCTCTTCATCTGGTGTGTCCATAAAGTGGACTATTGTATCATTCGGAGCTTTTGTTATACATTGAAAAAAAAGATTTTCAAATCTTGATCAAGTTTTGCTCTTTCTATTTATGCCTTTGATCTCACTGTGTGTCTGTGTGCCTTTGATCTCATTTTTCATGTGTGTGTGTGTGTGTGTATTACAGGTGGGGATATTATCAGGATCTTGTATATTTATTTTTGATCTGCACTGCCCCTTTTCCATATATCAATTTCCCACAAATATCTGGTTCTTTTAGTGATTTTATTTTGTTTCATTGTGCTACTTGTCTATTTCTCTGACCAAACTACCTTATCTTAGAATAGCTTCAGAAGCTTTAATGCCTTGGCTGGGCACATCCTCCCACTTTTTCTTTCCTTCCTTTCTTTCTTTCTTTGGCTGCACTGGGTCTTAGCTGTGGCACATGGGGTCTTCACTGCGGCATGTAGGCTTTCTTAGTTGTGGTGTGTGACCTTGGGTGCCCTGTGGCATGTGGGATCTTAGTTCTCTGACCAGTGATTGAACCTACATCCCCTGTATTGCAAGCAGGCTCTTAACCAACCAGTGGACCACCAGGGAAGTCCCTTCCCACCTTTTCTTGTTATTCAAAACTGTCATGGCTATTTTTGACCCAAACACATTTTAGTTTACTTTATTTTCTGCTTTTTAGAGATTGAAGTATAGTTGATTTAGAATATTATGATAGTTTTAAGTGTAACATCGTGATTCAAGATTTTTGTAGATTATACTCCGTTTAAAATTACAAAAATGGCTATATTTTCTCATTCTGTGCAACATATCCTTCTTACTTTTTAATCTTATACATAGTAATTCGCAACTCTTCATCCCCTTTCCCCTCCCCACTTGTAATTACTATTTGTTCTCTATGAGTCTGTTTCTGTTCTGTCATATACATTCATTTGTTTTATTTTTTAGACTCCATGTATGGGTATTTTTCCTTCTTTGACTGACTTACTTCACTAAGCATAATACCCTGCAGGTCCACCCACATGGTTGCAAATGGCAGAATTTCATTTTTTTTAAAATGGCTCAGTAATATTTCATTCCAGGAATATTCTGCATATATATATAGTGCATATATTCCATTGTATATATATATGTAATGCTGCTGTGAACATTGGGGGTGCATGTATCTTTCCCAATTAGTATTTTTTTTTCCTTCAGATAGAGTGGTAGTTCTGTTTTTTGTTTTTTGAGGAATCTTCATACTGTTTTTCATAATGGTTGCATCAATTTACAATCCTACCAAGAGTGTACAGTGGTCCTCTTTTTTCCACATTCTCACTAGCAATTGTTATTTGTAGAATTTTTGGTGATGGGCATTTTGACAGGTATAAGTAGGCATTTGTAGTTTTAATTTGCATTTCTCTGGTGATTAGCAAAGTTGAGCATCTTTTCATGTACCTGTTGGCCATCCAAATGTCTTCTTTGGAAAAACGTCTGCTCGGATCTTCTGTCCATTTTTTAATTATGTTGTTTGTTTTTTGGTATTGAGGTGTATGATCTCATATTTTGGATATTGTGCGTGTGTTAGTCACTCAGTCGTGCCCTACTTTTTGCAACCCCATGGACTGTAGCCTGCCAGGCTCCTCTATCCATGGAATTCTCTAGACAAGAACACTGGAGTGGGTAGCCTTTCCCTTCTCTAGAGGATTTTTCCAACCTAGGAATCAAACACAGGTCTCCCACATTGCAGGTGGATTCTTTACCAGCTGAGCCACCAGGGAAGCCCATATTTTGGATATTAACTATGTATTAAATACAGATTAAAAACTCCTTATTGGTCATATTACTTTCAAATATTTTCTTCTATTTAATAGGCTATCCTTTTGTTTTCTTAGTGATTTTCTTTGCTGTGCAAAAGCTTTTAATTTTATTTAGGACTCAATTTTTTTAATTTTTGCTTTTGTTTCTTTTCCTTAAGGAGACAGATCCAAAAGATACTGCTTCAATTTATGTCAAAGAGTGTACTATATTCTCCTCTAGGAATTTTATGATTTCAGGTTTTACATTTAGTTCTTTAATCCATTTTGAGTTCACTTGTGTAGGTGGTATGAAGGAATGTTCTAATTTCATTCTTTCATATGTAACTATTCAATTTTCCCAGCACTACTTATTGAAGAGACTGTCCTTTCTCTACTGTATCTTCTTGCATTGTTTGTCATAGATTAATTGACTATAAGTGCATAGTTTTATCTCTAGTCTCTCTATTCCATTCGGTTGATCTATGTGTTTGTTTTATGCCATTACCATTCTGCTTTGATTATTGTCATTTGTAGTATAGTCTGAAGTAAGAAAGCATGATACCTCCAGTTTTTGTTCTTTTTTCTCAAGATTGCTTTGGAAATTCAGGGTCTATCTGGTTGCATACAAATTTTAGGATAATTTTTCTATGTCTGTGAAAAATGTCATAGATATTTTGATAAGGATTGTATTAAATCTGTAGATTACATTGGGTACTATGGACATTTTAACAAGGTTGATTCTTACAATATAAGAGCATAGGATATCTTTCCATTTCTTTGCCTCATCTTCAATTTCCTTCCTCAGTGTTTTATGGAGTTCAGAGTGAAGATCTTTCATCTCCTTGTGTAAGTTTATTCCTAGGTATTACATTCTTTTTGATGATATTTAAATGAGACTGTTTTCTTCTTTTCTCTTTCTGATAGTTCACTGTTGGTGTCTAGAAAAGCAAAAAGACTTCTGCATGTTGATCTTGTATCTTGAAACTTTACTGATACCTTTTTTAGCTCTAATAGTTTCTTTGTGGAGACTTTAGGGTTTTGTCTATAGAGTATTATGTCATCTGAAAATAATGACAATTTTTCTTTCTTTCCTTCTCATTTTAATACCTTTTATTTCTTTTTCTTCTCCAATTGCTGTGGCTAAGACTTCCAATATAATGTTAAATAGAACTGGTAAGAACGGGAATCCTTGTCTTGTTCCTGAATTTAGTGGGAAGACTTTCAGCTTTTCACCATTGAGTATGATGTTAGCTGTGGGTTTGTCTTAAATGGCCTTTATTTGTTGAGATATATTACTTCTATGCCAACTTTGATAAGAACTTTTATCATGAATGGATGTTAAATTTTGCCAAAGGCTTTTTCTCTGTTGAGATAATCATGGGATTTTTATTCTTCATTTTGTTATGTGGTATATTGCACTGACAAGACTTGTGAATATTAAGTTACCCTCATATCCCTGGCATAAATACCACTTGATCATGGTATATGATCTTTCTAATATATTGTTGAATCATTTGCTAATATTTTGTTGAATATTTTTGTCTCTATATTTATCATGGATATGGGACTATAATTTTCTTTTTTGTACTGTGTTTGTTGGGTTTTGGTGTCAAAGTTATTGTGCCACACAGAATGAATTTAAAAGTATTCCATCCTCTTTAATCTTTGGAATAGTTTGAGAAGGATAGCATTAGCTCTTCT